TTTAATTTACTCCTTTGTGACATTGTACCACAAAGATATTCCACATCTTTGTGTGTTGTATCCTTAATATATATCTTTAGGGTTAAAAACATGTGTTCTACTTTTTTCCTTTCCCCAAACTATAATACCCTCCCCTCCTGCCAAAATACTTGAAACTATGCTATACACATTAATAAGAAGGAATAACTAAAATAATCATTGTTCTTAAACTGCTAACACATATACAAGCTAGCAATTTAGCATACTGAAATAGCTATTAAAGTTAAAAAACACAAGCATAATATTAATATGTTAATATACAAAATATGTTAAAGTTGGAAATTAAATTCTTAGTGGGCCAGGGGTACAGTTCAATGGTAGAGTGCTTGCCTGGCATGTACGAGGTCCTGGGTTTGATCCCCAGCACCACAAAAAAAAAAAATAGTAAATATTTAAATAAGTAATAAGAATAAAATACAAAAGTATAATTTTAATTATTAAAAACCACATGATACTATGGTAGAAAATTACTTACCCTAAGTGATTAATATATGAAAAGCTTCGATCTTTTTTTTTAACTTTTCCTAATTATAAACATTGTTTTGTTTTCTACTGAGACCCAGAGCAAAATAAAACATCTACTACTTTTTACATCTTGACTTTTATAAGAACTGATTAGTGCTGCTCCTAATTTTACACACACACAAAAGAAAAAAGAAAAAAAGGAAAGGAAACTCCCTCAAAAGTTTGGTACATTAAATTTCTGCATGTGCAGACAGATGGGTACATACCTAAACCTATTTTAGATGCATTACGAATACTCATTATATACAGGAATCCTAGAAACAATCCTTTTTAAAGAAATCTTCTAGGATACGTGATTTACATGTTTTATAAATCCAAATTTTTATACACTGGGTTTTCTTAAAATAAGTTAAACCAAAAAGGAAAAGATAATAGTACTATTATAAATTATGATCAAAATATCTTAATCTTTTCTTAATCCCAAGCTTTAAAAAAACAGTTCCATCCTTAAACAAACATTGTTTCATATAAACCTACACCTTTACCAATGCCCAGAGCTTTATTTCATTTGGAAATTTTCAGTTAGAAAGATACCACGACAATAAATGATTCTTCTATATCTTCAGTTTCATTTTAGCCTTCCTACATTCACACCCTAGAGGTTCCAGATTCTTATCCACAAAGTGATTATGGTCTAGGACTGAATCAGATTTGTAACAAATGTCCACTGGGATCCTTCGACCTATCATTGACGAGCAGAGCCAATATATGTCTTCTAGCTCACTGAATCCTTTCACCTACCTCAGGGACTCTCCACAATACTATATGGTTAGAAGCTTTCTTTCACAAATGACAAAAATAAATGAAAAATGATTTCAGAATAGAAAAATGAAAACTTAAGTCATTATATAGTGTCTAAAGGCTACCTTGCATCTACCACTTGATGCCCAAACATTGTAACATGTACAAAATATTCTTCTTTAAGGTTTCAAGTCTCATTATCTCTAACAATATTAACACTCCAATATATCTCCAAACGATGAACATGAAACTTCCACAGTATCTACAATAGCCTAGAAACCATTATGATTCATTTTTTAATATTCCAGAAAAGAATAAAGCTAATAAAATAAAACTTTTAATAAGTATGCTTTTTTAAAATATTATCATATCAAAATGAAGCTCTGATAGAAGTCATATAATCATTTATAAATAAAATGTAAAGTCTTGCTCTTTTTCCTAAAAGGTAATTTAGCATGGTAGTCTCTTTTTTTATTTTTTATTTTTGCAATTGTTCTTAAAATGTATTTCTCTTCAAAAAATTTTTTAAAAAATGTATCCAAAGAGAAAGAAGAAAGAAATTACAAAGTGTAATATTTTTATGTTACAAGCCACACAAAAATCTGTCACTACTTATGTTACAATTCTAGTCATCAATAAGGTACTTTTTTTCGATGTACCACTCAAAAATCAATTATATCAACTCTTTTGTATAGAGAAGCAGCACACCTTTCAGGCAACTAGTATTAATGAGTGGACATGACTATAGAATCTCCATCTGTTTCTCTGACAAAGCTGTGGCTACTCTTATTCTCTCATTGAAATTCCATTAATCTGATGTACCAAGGTCCAATGCGAAAATCAAAACTCCATCTAACCCTTTATCAGCTCACAATAACCTACAAGTGAACTCTGCCTGTTAGCATGCAGCAAGTTATGATTTTGCTATCAATCAGGCAGCTGGCCAATAAAAAAAAAAAAAAAGAAAGAAAGAAAGAAAGGGCAGGCTGGAAACAGCGTGTCTGGCAGGGTTTGGAGATTTTGTTTTTGTTTTCTGTTTCATCTCTATTCATTTTCTATAGGGTGTCTGGACCTTGAGAGATTATGCATTATTCTCCTTGGCTGTGATTTAATTGCTACCAGCAATCAAGTCGAAGCATCACTGAAGTGTGCTTGAATTTCATTAGAAGATATAACTTATGCTACTTTCCTACAGTACCTAATAAACCATAAARAAACCAAAACACATATGGCTTGAGGGAATAACTGGAAAATTAGGTGGCCATTTGGGAACTGAGTGAACTTTTGAACCAGAGGAACAGAGAAAAAGAAATATTAAAGGGAAAGACAGACTTAGAATGCACATAGAGATGTGCAGGTTTGACCTTTTCAGTACCTTGAAAATTACATTAGCATTATGAAAAATACATATCATGTTTAGAGTTTATAATCCATCAAAGTTCAGATACTTTGTTAGTGCCTACCATAAGGTAAAAGTCAAAAGGACAAAACAACAATCTGATTTGACAAAAGGCCTTTTGGTGACCTGTGCTAAATTGGTTATACTTAATGTTAAATACATTATCTTTTTTATAATTAATACATTATTAGACTGAGGTCATATAATAAAGGAAAATTTATTCAGCAAAGGGAAAAGAACATAGACAAAATCTAAATTGCAGGGAGAAAAACTGAGATGATGAGATGTTTTAAGAGTAAAAATTAAAAGTCCAAGTAGTAGTTTGAAAATTAACCTATAACAACATTCTTAGAAGAAAATGTGAAACCATTAAAAATCTTATTATTTACATACAAAAATAAATAATACTAAAAGTTACATTTCCAACTTGCTTAAGAATTTCTTAAACATTAATAATATGAACTAGAATTTAACAAAAAAGCTGGTGTTACACAGAAATATGTCATCAATAATATTCAAATATTGATAATCTTTTAACAGCAAATATTTTTATATTAACATATTTCCTGAATATATGTTTATGAAAACATGATAAATTGTTTATTCTTAAGAAAGAAAACATGATAATCATATAAAGACAACATAATTTAATAACAAATCACTCTGTGTGTAAAACTCACTACAAGATATCCATCTTTTGTAGATATTTAATTGCTGGGTCTTTATTAACCTGCAATTTTTAAAGAATGCAAATAATGCTCCTGTATACATCAAAATAGTTATGCTATTTTGAGAAACTCTAAGCATATTTATTCTATGAGAACATTCTGTGTGCATGTGTGTGTTTATCCCTTGAGGTATAAATACTCTGTCTCTACATGTGTACATATACAAATACATACTCATTCATGTCTATGAACATTTTACAGAGAAGAAAAACAAATAATTGTAGTGCATCTAAAAAACAGTACAATATAGATGATAATTCACTGTTTGGCCAGAAAATATTATTTCATCAATTAGAAAACATTTTCTAACAGAACTGCTTTTGAAGATAAGGGTAGAAAAGACAATGCTCTGTTTTAGAGATTAAGTATGAATGAAGAAAAGTGTGCATCTTTGTAAAAGATAAAAAGAAAATATAAGAGAAAAATTCCCTTACTTTAAAAATAGAAATTAAATGTAAAATTCAACATAAAATGGATATGATTATTATTGCTACACATTGTACAAAGTTCTGTATATAAAAAAAGATTGTTTTGTTCTGAATCAGTGGTTAGAATGTTTATCACTTATGCATGTACTTGACTTATCCCTGTTCTGCAATAGACATAATTTTATACCTCATAAAAGCAATTTATGTTTCCAAAGGGAATAATCTGGATAACATAAAATGTGGAGTGCTCTGTTGCAGGAAGCATATTTTCATTCAGCAATTGTATTTAGAGATGGAACTGCACAGTTTGATCATCATATAGTGGCAGAAGACATTATTCATTTCTATGTCTATGTGAAACTTTGAGTGCCACAAATTAATATGCATGGCTAATTTATCAATACACATTCTTAATTTATAACTATATATCACCCTTATAAGGTTTCTATCATGCAGATGCACTCAATTGGCTATAACAGAGAAAGCACATGCTGTACTAAAACAAGTTCCATAACTTTGGCAACATTCAATAGTGTTTTAGAAATTACTAAGAGATAAACAATCAACTTTATTACTAGTTCAATTAATACAAAATGTTATAATATTACTGCATAATATAAGGCATTTTAAATGACAATCAGAAAAATGAAAATGTATATTTAAAGAAGCATCTGATAAAAACTGTCTCAATGTGAAAAGGCAACGTAAGAATAATTAATTTAATATTTCATGAACTCATTTTGTATAAAGTTTTTAGAAAAAATAGATCAAAAACCTTTTTCATTATTTATAAAATAAATAATACAACAAGCCATTAACAAGCATAATAAAATTAAGCAAGAATCTGATAACATTAAACTAACCAACAAACTGTTACTAATAATATTCACATGGTGATGCAAACACTCTCCTAAAATTCTATTAAAGAAAATTTCCTAGAAAAAGAAGCAACTACAGTTTTAGGAAAACCTCAACTAGGACCACTAGAGAGAGCTCTTCCGTTCCTTAAAAGGTTCTGGTAAAGGTGAGTTCATGGAAGCCTCAGCCTTCAGCTTTATGATAAGACCACTACCTCCACAAAAATCACTGCTTCGTGTCAAAGTGTCAAAAAGTAAATTCTTATGGAAAAATGTCACATACCATCAGAGGGGGCTTCGTCATCTTTGTCATATCGTTCTGAGGCTAGGGAAATAGAGTCTGGAGGCCCAGCAAAAGGGTCATCATATTCTTCCCCCTCTTCTGCATCACCTGTAAAAGAATCAGAGAAATGACTTCTATGATTTAGTCATCTGAAATAATGTAGTCTTGTCAGAAAAGGCAAGTTTTACTATTAAGCTCAGTCAATRTTATGGGAAAACAAACAAAACCTTTTGAATGAGGTAAACACAGATTCTATTTTAGTTTGTATTCATTGTTATGTAAATGTGGCAAGAGTTTTTTCAAAATCAATAGACAAGGGCTTATTTGTGACACAAAATAAGGACTGTATTCACAGTCCCTAAATTATGATGGTCTCTATAAGGAATTCAAAAAGTAGAAGCAAGATAAAACAGATTGTGTACCTAAAACAAACAATCAAAATAACAATACCCCCAAAAGATGGAAAGTACAACAAAGAAAATAATTCAAGTAATTCCATTTACCTACTCAGTAATTTTGAAAAATGATGATGAGAAATTGGTAATGTGAAGCCATATGAACACTTTTTATTTTCATTAAAATCACAGGATAACATTAGGGTCAATTAAAAATAGTTGTGTTTTTGAGAGTAGGAATCATTAATGGGAAAACTGATTTAAAACTCACATAATCCTTTCAAAATTCAAACAAGATGATTTATAAACACTTTCAGTTTTCATCCAGTGGTATATTGTCTTTTTCAAAAATGTTCTGGCCAATTTTGTACTTGATTTCCAAATCCTAGGTTGGTTTTTTGGGGGTTTGTCTGCCTGTTTGTTTTAGGTCACTCAATCCCCCATGGTAAGATCTGTGGTTTGGGCTTTTTCCATATACTTAGTTGAAATAATTTTTTACTAAAACACTGAATCAGCAACTTGCTAGCCCAGTAATATACAAGCACTCTGTTTTTAATAGATTCAACATTAAAGAAAAACATATGCTTAATACTATTATCAAGCATCTAACTATTAACAATTCGAATTACCTGTTACAGATTCAAGAGAAAACCAGCACCACAGGGGTGACTCAAAAAGTAGTGAAAATCCCAGCAGGAAGCCTAAGGTTCTACACTATTAAATTTGGGCCACAGTTTCTGGGCAGATCCAGATTAAAGCTACTCTCTCCAAAAGGATGTCTGTATGCCCTGATACCTATTTGCTGGGTGGGTGTCTTCCTACTTTCCAGCAGAGAAAAATTTTGATAGAGCAAAGAACCTCTTTCAAGACATGAAGACAACAAGAGCAGAATACAGGGATGGCTTTCTCGTCATTCTTAGGATTTCACCTCTAGGTATAAAAAATATGATGATGTTTCTTCCCTGATTGAAATTCCAAGGAATACACATAAATACTTCTCATTCTTCAGATTTTAACTTATCTTTCTTTTTTTTTTTTAAACAGGATCTTTTTTTTTAATATTTATTTTTAGTTTTTGGCGGACACAACATCTTTGTTTGTATGTGGTGCTGAGGATCGAACCCGGGCCGCACGCATGCCAGGCGAGCGCGCTACCACTTGAGCCACATCCCCAGCCCAACTTATCTTTCTTTTGACATGTTCCAAGTACTTTTCAGAACACTCAGTGATCCCTTATAATATTTCTTTTATGAAAGCAAGAGTGCTCAGATTTCAAATATAAGGTAAGAAAGAACTTGAAAAAGTGCCACCCAAAATATTTTGAACAAGTTATGACAGTACTTGGGATATGCAGTAGCAGGGGGTCATAAAATTCTCAGGTTACTTTTAGCTGCTAGGATATCCTTATATTCTTAAGAAAGAACTTGCATGATATGTATTTTCTGAGGATGTTTTGTATCACACACACTAAAACAATAAAACTTGCTGAAATTTTTAAAAAATTAAGGTATCAGGATACTTCAAATACATCATCGAACTTAGCACTTAGCATACTATGTTGTTATGACTACAAAGGAAACAACAAAACCAAAGAATATATGAAAAGTATTTTTTTAAATTCATATTCTCAGGTTTAAATCTCTTAAACTCTATGTGGAAATAAGTGGATAATTTAAAATCTTTGAAAATCAGAAGTAGTTTATTGTCCTTTGATAACATCCATTGTAAGTTTTTATGTGTACACGTGTGTAAAGTGTACTATACACACATATACACAGATGAACATACTATCTACATTTGATATATACATTCTCTATTACACATATAACAAAATTGTTATTAAGCTATAAACTCAAAATTTAATAAAAGAATATTCTACACAAATTGGTCACTGACACATTGAAGACTTCTGTGATTTTTATTTTTTTTAACCTTTTGATTATAAAATTGTCTCCAATTTACTCATTCTAAGAAATGCAGTTAATTGAAAGTATTATTTTTCTAAAAAAAAAAAATCAGTGTGACATTTATCTAAGACAAAATAAATTAACTACTGCTATTGGCCTGATCTCTTCCCTCCCTATCCTCACCCCCAACTTCCTTTGAATTCACTCAGAAAGTAAAGTATCTACGTAGCATTGGTACAGAGAAGTCCCTTTTTAAACAACTGCATTAAGAGAAACATTATCATTTTTCATCATGACCTTCTTCATCTTACTGTTGGCTCGGTGACGGATGCCCCATCCCTTTTCCCCCCCTCCCTTAATCTTGTTTTTCAACCCAATAAAGTAAGAATTGCTCTCTTATAAGGAGCTTTAACTGAACACAGGGGTCGCTGTTGAGTAGTACAAAGCATTTTTCCTCCCCAGGGGCTAAGTATCTGAAGCCTTACCTGCAAAGACTTCTATAAATTAAGGGGAAAATGTTCAACTTGTGTTTATGTAATAAAAAACTGAACTCCAAATCAACAACAGGCATCAGGTAAACGTATCCAATACAATTTACAGACATAATTGAAAGCATTACAGACTAATCAGACATCGAAAAGAAAAGCGTGCTCAAATGAAATGTCTACAGAATCATTAGTTGGCAGCCATTCTATTACAATCGCACATAATGTCAGTGGTGCCTTGAGCCTGTGCCAATGACAACAGCATAAATTTTGCATCTCATTTCTGTGGTCATAAAATTAATGATCAGTTTAAAAATACTTCTTTGTAAAAGTTATTGCGCAAAGAAAAGACATGAATGTGTCCCTGTTATGTACTCACAAGGATAATTATGGGGTTGTTGCTCATTAATACTGTTTCTTGTTTCCCTAGAAAAGCATTTGATTTATCCCACAACTTTCAAAAGTTTAATTAACGATACAAAGTTAACAGCCTAAAAGACAAAAATCCAAGGCTTCCTTTCCTTTAATTTCAGTGGCAGCTTAAATATCATAACAGAATCGACATTTAATCATACCACAGCAGCATATTTATCTGATATCTATTTTTAAATTCATAATAGTTGGGTTCAAATCACTATGGCTCATCATCTATTAACATTTCCCTAAAGGACTGGAGAGGCAGCCCAACAGTGACTCAATTCTGCTTCCACTATCTCTACCACCACTGACGGTGAGTCACCCCAATTTACTGCTTGTTTTCAAATACAGTGCTATTTTAAACACAATCAGATAAACATTAAATAGCTAAAAACATTAAATCCCTAAAATTTAGTATACATTTTACATACACACACCAAAATATTACACTGTACCCTACAGCCATATATAATTGTTAAATGTTCATTTAAAAGAAAAAAAATAATAAATTAATAAAACAATTTAGGTGGTAACTATTCCTTCATACAGAGCATGAAAGACAAACTTGGCGGGGGGATTAGTCTATATGAAAACAAATTAGCTTCTAATTCTCTACTTGGTTTACTTGTCTGATCTAATTTTAGAATTAAGCATTTAACTTGCAATTTCCTAAGGGAAGTTAAATTCTTTAAAGGATATTATAGGTTACTGAAAAATAAGAAGATCCTCCTCATAATTCTTCCACAATAGAAAAGCTAATTCATAGCATGCAAATAGTAAACACAATTTCTTACACCAAACTGAGGCAGAGTTTTAAAATAAGCACACCATTTCTCAAGCACTGCCTCAGAAATAGACTCCTACCACTACAGGTCCCAGAATCTCARACATGCTGACCACGTTTGTACAAGGGCAAGGGTGGGGGTGTGTGGTGGAAGAAAAAAGCTGTAAGTTTTCTGCTCAAATTTCATTGTGGAGCCAGCTTTCAACAGAAAATGTACTATGTTAGGAAGAGTGAAGGAAAGCAAATTAAACATCATCCAAACTTCTGACTTTTCTGCTACTCTTAAGGATTCCATTAGAACAAACTAAAATAGTTCCCTTCTTACCTAACAGTACTGCTATTTTTAGCAAGTTATTAAGCCAATTGATAAACTTAAGAAATAGTACAAATGAGAAGGTCAAAGGAAATTGCTTTCTAAGTAAATCTATGCATATTTAACAATATCAATGAAGTCTTAGGGGCATAATCTATTAAACAAATTTTTGCAATTARGAGAGACAAGAGCTTTTAAAGTAGAAAATGGAATTCTTTTAGCTATTGCACCTGAAACAATAAATTCACATTTTTAAAAATGTAGATACTAGAGCTACAGTATGGAACAGTAGTAGATTCTTTTCCTAGCATATATGAGGTCCTAGGTTCAATCACCAGAACTAAAAAAAAAAAAAAAAAAACAAAAACCTTTGGCATTAATATTTTACAAATTTGAAACCATTCTCTTGAAGTAATTATCATTTAATATGTCTGCCCTTCTTTTAAAAATTTATGATAATTTCCTAAAAATTATTTGAAAACTGAACTTATGAGTCAAGATTAACTTAAATCTTCTTGACAAATTAAGTTGAATTAGTGAACATGCATTAATATATTATTTACTGAACACTACTATGTGACATGAACAAGTATTTTCACATTGTCTTGTTTCTATAAATCAGTCTATAAGGAAAGTAATCACATCCAAATCATCACTTGAGTAACATGAGACTAATAAAAGGTCAAGCTACAACTACAGTGTAAGTAAACATTTTTATCATGTATCTAATATATACTAGAAAATTCTAGTTAAAGTTCAGTCAATAAATAGTCTTTACTCAAATAATAATCTATTCTCATTACAAAAATAATTATTTCAAGTCACACTTAAGATACCTATGATCTTGTTATGTGACAAAATAATTAAAAAATAATCACATAGCATAATTCCAGTACATGGAAGATAATATATTCTTTAGAGAGTTGGGCTATATTGCAACTAGGAAACTAGGGTTAAATGGTTATTCTTACACAATACTTTGAGGTAAGAAGGCACTCTCTAGATAAAATGAGCAATATTTCAAATGAATAACAGGGACTAGGTCAAGCAAAATGTGTTTTAGCCAACTGGATTCAAAGTATTTTTAAATGCAAGTACAATTAAAGAATTCAGAAAAATCAACTGAAAAGTATTCTAATGTCCAATTTGTCAGATCTCTTTATGGGAAAATCTAGACTGGAGCATATAAGGAGACAAAAGGAGAACTTTCATAAATTAAAGAAATGAAAAGGGAAATTAAAAAAAATAGTTTTCTATGGAAATAAATACAAATAACAATTTAAAAATTAGCTTAGTGGAGCTTTATTATCTAGGAGCCACTGTAATAAAACAAGTTTCTAACAATACAAACTATTCTCACACACAAAGAAAAACTAGAAATGAAAAACAACCTTCTAATATTTATGCAGTTTACTATATCAATAATCATATTAATTCAATTAATTTAAGAATTGAACTACTTCAAACTAAACATTCTGTATTATTTAATCCAAGAATGGGAAATTTTAGCTGGAGTGTAAGGAGGAATTAGGATGGGAAGGAGGGACAACAGATATCTGCACATTAGAGAGATTAAAAACTTTTTGAAATGAATAAATCTGAATTATTTATTTTACTTAAGATCTCTGCTTCTTTTTTTCTACCAATAATGGTATTAAAATGGTATTTAACTATCATTTTAAAAATCAAGAATATGAAACAGAGGAAAACAACTTTAGTTTAATTCATTGTGACCCTATTTTGTTATGAGAGAAAGAAACAGGAAACCAGCCAAAAGGAATTCTTTGCAGTTCTCCCTGGATGAAGATAATCTGAAACCCATAGGGGAAAATGCAAGAGGGGAACAGCATCACCAAAGCATACTTAGGATTGAATTCACTCAACGTAGGTATCTTATAATAAATTCCTACTGTTAAAAAGAAAAGTGTCTTGAATAATTGCTTGGCAATTATTAAGTCTGCACCCTTTACTATTCCTATAAACTATAAAATAGTCTTTGTAGAATCAAGTTGAATATACTTGTAGGGTAAAATGGCATAAAATTACTCAGCTTCTCATATTCCTCCAAGGTATACCTCCAATTTAGCCACAGGCTTACTTTTGAGCAGACACTGTTGGTGATTAGTTAACTCAATACTGCAGTATTGAACTACAAATTAGTTATTCAGAGGAAAATGATTATGGCGAATCTCTGAATTCCACATTATTTGAACTCTTATTCTCAACTCATTTTTCAATTTCTATCAAATAGTAATATAAACTTCCATTTTCTTTGGAGACAAATAATGCATCTCCGTAATGTAATTTTAATATCCACACACCTGAACAAGTTCTAAAACAGAATTCCAAAGGGAAAGTTCCTACACTATTACTGAACCATATGCAATTATAGAATGACTTCATATTATCATGCTTTCTTAGCTTAAACTTTTTTAATATACAAATAATTAAGCCACAATGAAGAGTTCAATAAATAATCACCAGAACAAAATATGCCTTTTAAGAAGAGAGGCAGAATCAAATATCTAATATTCTTCCATAATAGTACACTGTATAAAAGCTATCGTAATTAAAATGCATAAATTCATTTCTATATGTGACAAAGCAAAAAATACAACAGGATTAAGTCCATAGTTTAGAATTCATTGTGGAACACACCAAAAAAATTGGGTATTGGGGGACAGAAAGAGTATCCGGCTCTACTCTTTAATAGTGTTTTGTTTTGTTTTTTAAATCTCAATACGGGGCGGGGGGGGGGAATCTTCTTATTCCCTTAAATCATACAGATTTGACGATTTAATGTGAAAAGAAACTGTGACTTCCTTTTAACTGATTTTAGGTGTGTCTGGTAGGTTTGTCTGGTAGTACTTGGTTTATTAGAACTGTCAGTATCCTCTCACTTATCAGTCGGCACAAATATTAATTATTCTGTGGGTCCTGCTAACTCCAGTTAGAAGACATTACACTGTTTATTCCCCAAACCCAGAACCTAGCTCAGTCCTGGTCAAGTGACCTCATACTGTGACCCGCATGCCAGCATCCACAAGCTGGAGGTCATGACCTATGAATTAGCATCAGGGAAATAAGGGCCATACTGAGTTCCCCTTACAGAACTGAAAACATGAAGTAGTAGGAACTTCCTATGGCTTTCCTGATCTAGCCTTCAGCATGTTAAACAGCTGCCTCTCAAATCTAAAGGAAGACAGTCAGTCGACCACACTTTCACATATTTCAAAAACAGAAAACTGAATCCCCATCTTTACAAATCTCTAAGAAACAACAGATTCATTCAAATTAAAAGAACAAGGGAAAAAAACTAGCTTTTGAGAAAGATTTTACTCACGTTATCAAACAAAAATTTACAGTTTTTCTTTTTGAGGGTTTTTCCCCATAAATGGTAGGTTTATTTATTTATAAAGTCACATCCTAAAAATATTTTAAGTAATAAATAGTTTTTAACAACATTTGTTAACAATATGCTCCCAGCTGGTAGAAGGCCTCTGTCTAGTTGACAAAAGAGATTTTGAGAAACCTTCAAGTATCAGGCCCTATGATCCCCAAATCTCACGGTCTCAGAAATGGAACAAAGATGCCCTTGGAGTTTTTGCCCCTCCTGCAGCACCTGCTCAACACTGACTTCATTTATCCAGATCAGAGCACCTCACTTGGGACCCCAGGCCTTCAGGCACGCAGCCACCTGCATGTTTTTAAAGTACCCTTCAAAAACATGACCTGTGAACACCCAGCCACAGGCCCTTCTGCTCCTGCCATTCTATAAAATAACCTCTGTAATATTAGATAGCATYGAGTTCATATCTCACCGCTGCTCACTGAATTCTTCCATGTGTAACTGCAAGTATATACCTGTCCTAACAAATCTCTGCCACAGTGAACTCGAAGAAACATGAAACCTAAGAATGTTAAATGCATAAGATTTCTCCATTTGAGGAATGCAATGGATTCTGCATATGCTTTTTAATTTTTTTCTCAGCAGGGGGAGCTAGCACTCTCATCTTGAAGGTCTAAATATATAACATGGAAATTTAAATTTTGATTTCAACTATCAAATTTCAGGATGTTAGACTATTCTATTGAAAATCTCCACAGGGGAAAAAAAATGTTCAAGTTTGAAATTTACCTTTGTCTTGAAATTCGTGAAGATAGCTGCAAAATGAAGAACATTATATTTTAAAATGAGGTTGGCAAATCAGAGCAAGGTCTAATCAGTGGCACATTCAAATCTAAAATCTATGTTATATATAGAGAGGGGAAAATTATTTCCTGTGCTGAAATGGCAATTCCAAAATGCTTAGGAATATATAGTGAAATTATTTTTAAAGATCTGAGTATAGTAATAAAATGAGGATATATCTTTAATAACTATAACATATATTTATTCACTTAATGTAGTAACAAAAGGATTCTTTTTTCAGTGTCTAAGGTATTTTCCATATTTATATTAAAATCATTAATTTACCCATGTCTTATCATTTAAACCAAATATACCCTCAGATAATCAAAATAAACAGTTAATTTTTGCTAGAATGCTTACAAAAATACACAGTCAAGCACCTTCACAAGAAAGGGGTATATAATAAGCATATTTGTGGAATATATTTTTGTCTTTTAAAAAATACTTGACACCAATAAATAAACATAAAAATTTCACTCCATGATAATCAATTCCTTATTAAAATCAATTTCTAATTACAAAATTGTTTCTAATCAGTAATTAAAGGCAGGTGACTTACGTATACTTTACATCTTTTATCTTCTTAATAAGGGATTCTCTCTTTTCCTTTGCTTTCTTGGATAAATTTTCCCCTCTCAATGTGTCTGCTACAAATGTTTCAACATCTAAATCATGAAATATAAGAAACAGGATACAAATTATGGCAAAGAATCATTTTTTGTGAAAACAAATACAGCAATGGTTGTTTCTGCATATAAGCATTAATATCTGTACAATTCGGTGTAGCTATTTATCAATCCAGAGTATAACCGTTGAAGTGTGTTTCACATACTAAGTTGGACAAATCTGCTCACCACTTAGCTAATAAAATTTGTATGCTGTACTTACGCTTAGCAAAAGCAAATGCTATTTGAATGTTTGGCACCATTAAACCATGAAGAAGCACACGAGTTTTAATAAACTATGGTGCCCATAAAACAAATTCTCATACAAAAGCAAGCACCAAGCTTTTATGCACTTGTTACTATCATTTTATCGTATTCTTTGAGTTCCTATATGAACAAAACATTCACAATAGTATATCAATATAAGCTAATGTCTCTGGCAAGGGTCTGTTTTTCTCAGACCCTTTCTATAATCCACTTTCAGGAATGCATAACATTTAATGCTTTGAATGAAAAAATAAATTCCTTTTTTCTAGACAAGATTCCCAAATCACACCCTGTTCCTTACTACTGGCCCCACCCACTCTGGCCACTCAAATAAAAAAGAAAACCAGCTGAGCAGTTCTGTGAACTCCTGCTTCCTGCCATGGTATTTCCACCTGGTATATTTCTTACATAAAGAAAGAAGCAGAAAAATATATTCTTCTGCTATTTAAAAATATAGTATCCATAAGATTTCTATGACCTTATGTAACATTGCCTCATAAGCATCTTTTTAAAAATGTTAGTAAACTCCTCAATTATTTTCTTGTCTGGTTCTCTCGTGTAAAATTTCAAGAAATCGTTGCTCAACTGATTTTTATGATAATCCCAATCTCATTGTTTATGAAATACCATACACCTTAGAATAATTTACTTTCAGAGTTTCAAAGTTCATGTTAAAATATCTAATATAGAAGATACCGTTAAATTTTTTAAATAGGCATGGCTATAAATCATCCATATTTCATACTGAAGAGATATATATGTATGTTTTACTTCCTTTTATTTAACTCACACTGATAAAGAGATGGCATCAAAACGTAGTATTGTATATAAGTAATGCAAAGTATTATAATAAAGAATCCCTCAACTACACTTAATAAGTAACTATTTAAAACTAATATATAGGATACAATGTTTGTAATCAATTTTAAATCTTGATCACAGCAATATTTTGATCCAGTAAGGAAAAATGATTAAATTATGATACATTCATTACAAATGTGTAGAGGTGTTTTTTCATTAAGTCAAAATGAAGAGTGAAAGAATTAAAATTTGATCTTGCAATAATTTTTAAAAACAGCTTATGGTTTGAAGTCCATTAACAACTAATATGTTAAAAGTAAGTATAAAATGAAATGGAAGCAAAATGTCCCAGCTTCTCTTTCCTGGAGTTGCCCATATTTTGAAGAGGGGACATATATAATCCCAAACCAGTGCAAATTAGACCCAGATTTCTCAACTGAGTTCAAAATAATGAAATTTATGAGAAACTTGCACCCAGAGGAGCAAGCAACCTTTGGACATTCAGACATTAGCTGAAATGGAAAAGATCATTGGCTTCCCTGAGATCCATACAGTAATATTTCTTCTTAAAAAAAAAAAAAAGTGGAATAAGGAAAGAAGTAGCATCCCTACTGCTGATGGTTCCTTCCAAGTGGACTCAATACTTGAGAGAATCACTGGCACAATGACTAGTGAATAGTCTGCTTAATGTTATTTTCACTCAATGTTTGTCTTTAATTCCCTCTTCCACGAGTATTTAATTGCCTATTTTACATTTTCATTATACAATCCAAGTTTAAACAAACAGGATCTATTTTCTATCTCCGGAAGCAATAACACAACGAATTGCAGCTCAAGAGTTATTTCTTAAAAGGTCATTTCAGTTCTATAAAAACTCAGAAAACTAAAAAAAAAGGCTGTAATACTCTATGAAGTACTTTCTTAAAACCTCCAAAAAATATTTTTTAGATACTACCCATGCTTCTACTTGAAAATATTTGTGGAGAGTGTGAGATTGCAGGAAAAAATAAGTATTTTTTAGGGGAGGGGATTCAGAGATTGGGTAATGAAAAAAATCTATACTTTTATAGTAGTCTTTTAAATACATTTATCCTCAAGCTTTTCCCAGAAAAGGATTTAAGGCAACTGAAAGGATTTAATAAACACTGACTTCATCAGTATTTTCTCAAAGGAGATATAGAGAGTAGGAACTACTTTGATGTTTATTTTAATAAATCAGAACTTTAACTGGAAGCGGTTTTTGCTATAATCTATTGTTGTCAACAGATTTGGTTGTCTGTTAAGCTTTTGAAATCTAAGTCATGGCTTAAAATCTACACATCTACACTTTGTCCTTTTATTTTCAGATCCAACTAAACCAGCCTTTCCTAAGCACCGGAAGCTCCCTGGTTACCGGGACAGCCTTCGGCCCGGTGCCTGTGCAACGCACCGACTTGGCTCCCCAAGCGCAAAGACAGAACAAGCACAGAAAAGAAGTAATCTTAGGCTTTCCTAGGAGAAACTCCACCCTCGACCCTCAACCCTGCGGGAGTGTTAAACACAGGTTTTCCTATCCACCGAGCTGTGAGCTGGGAGAGATACTGGTTTGGGGCAGCCCCCTCGCCAGACAAATGGGGCTGGATCTGCGGCTTTGTAGCTCAAAGCCAGGGTAATATTTCAAAAGCGAGCAATAAAAGTCTTATGTGAATCAAGCGCTCCTCTGGCTGGTTGGAAAAGAGATTTGAAGCTTTTTTACTGGGCTCTAAATAGCCCTGCAAACGGTAAACTAGCAAGCACGGTAAACTAGCAAGTGCCTTAGCCTTCTTTTACCTTCCTTTAGGGGTCGTGTCCCTCGGTTAATATGTAAATTTCACTGACTCCTGACTGCCTATAATTTGGGGGGGAAAGACTGTAATTGGATTACAAGAAAAGGTCAGCCTGCCTTGCTCGCTGGCCCTTTGGCCTGAATTAGAATTCCTTTCTCAGAGGGAAGGGGTTCCATTCACTCCCGTGGGCGCCCACCGCAGGAAAGACACATGCGGGGCCGCTGGCCCTAGCGGAGAGGGCGCTGAAAAGGGGTGTCCCCAGCGCACCAAATCTAACTGCTCCTCACCCGCAGCCTCGGAAACTGCCGGTCTGCACCGCCAGCACTTTACTCCCGAATTACCCCATCAGCCTCCACCCACGCAAGTCATCATTTAAAAAAGTTATTCTGGCAAAAGTAAACGTGGGGGTGATTTCTGCTGCTGTTTACACCTTGACACGGTCAAGAGTAAGCCTTATTTCCAGGAACTGCGGTAAGCATCTGGGGGAGAAGGCCGCTGAAGAGATCAGATTTACAACTGCTCTGTAGATAGATGTTAAGGTCTGAAAACAAAAATTAAAAGATGCCCCTGTTCTGGCTCAGCAATCCTTAAACAGTTTAAGTTAGAAACCTCTCAATAGCCATCTCGACCCTTAAGAGGCAAACACTTAACACACAACTCAATGACCGGTACTCCGACTTTTCTTTGCTTGCTTGCTTTTTTTTTTTTTTTTAAATTATTTCTTTAATACAGAGAAGACCCATAGAAAAACTGCCACCCGATCTTCCTCTAGGGTCCTGAGTGATAACAACAGGTATCTAACACACACAGGCTGCTTTCTACCAACTTCTGTACAGATCAAACAGTGAAAAGGTGGAACCACACAAGATCAGAAGAGTTTTAAAATTCTTGCCAACAATACTATATGTCAGATTCTCCAAGTTGAGTACCTAGCCCAGGTTCCCACTCTTGGAGACAGTGGAGCTTTGACCACTTATCCTCACCATCCCCCACTACTAAAGAGCCTGCAATAGGACCTGCAGGCTGGAGTCTGTAAAGAGCCACAAGGGTCAGACACACACACACACACACACACACACACACACACACACACACACACACTTTCTCCCTAGTCCCCAGTACCTACACACAGATACACAGACACCTCTGAGATGGCCTGAAGTGAAAAGAGCAAGAGACAGGAATTCAGCTGAATCCACCACCATTTGCTCAGCCCAAGATCAATAAAATAAGTGTAAAAACCAATCCCACAGCACCCCAAATGGCTTTACTACTTAATTCCACATCTTGCTCTACTTTATGAACTGGGTCAGATTTCACTTTGTATTTACTGAGTTGTGCTGTCACCAAACTTAATGTGCTAAGGATAGTAGCCTGGTCTGAGACTAAAAACAAAAAGACACTTTTCTGTTTAAGCAGGGAATGATCTGACCAAACAACTACTGGCGAAAATATAAAAATCAATTAAACTGGGTACATTCAGATCAATGAAGCCAAATGCCCAAAGTCAGAAAATGGCTAATTGAAAAGTTATTGATTGTTCAAATCAATGTCCTTGATTACCTAGCACTTTTATAGGTTAGGGTTGAACTGTTGACTTCCCAAACATAGAAAAAGAAGACATAAACAAGCACAGTTTTCATAGTGCAATGGCTAAAACATACCTGAGCCTTATAATCCAATCATCCTACAAAATTTTCAAAATTGGGTTTACAAGCTAAATGATTTATGGTGATAGAAAGCTGGGCTGTTGAAACATAGGGCTGACCATCTTTCAACCTCTAAAAGATGACTCCTGATAAATAGCACTTTACAATAATCAAAATCTTTTTACCACACATTCTCAAAGAAGCCACAGTGAATAACACATTAGTCTGAGATTTACACTATATTCACTGTTAGGCAGCCTCTATTGTAATGTGTTCAGAATGTGATTGAAAAAGAAATGTAAACTCAGTGGAATGAAAAAGATAGACTTGGCTTTAATTGGAAAAGACAAACTAAGTGAATAATGAGTATATAAAACCTAGCCTATGCCACTTTTATCACCCATATATGACACTTAATCTTAAATTTATGAGAGACAACTGAACTGTGTTTCAAATCACCAGAGGCTTTTCTTACTCTGTTATTTCTTCCTTCTTTCTAGCAATACTTTAATGCTGGTATCAGTTAGAGATAACCCCACTTGGAAATTTTTCATATACTACTCATTTTTTAGTATATTTAGGTTTTTCTTTTTAAAGTAAACCAATGTTAATTAGGACTATAAAAATTGTGCATAACATCAAGAGCCTTACTTGGTAATCTAGGATGAAAATACTTTGAATGGACATGCTAAAATACCCCCTCCCAAGAAAAAGTAGGACACTATAGGCTTAAGATAAATACATAAATAATCTTCCTTAACACCACATCTTAATTCACCTATACTATTTGACCCAGTCAAAAAAAAAAAAAAACCTCAATAAACTTCTGGTCCCTTGATTTACAAGCTCATATTCCTATTTTTAGAAGAGAATATCTAAGACTATCATAGATTGATTTTATTTTGAGATTAAATGTTCTCTTATCACCTCGATGCTCATCAGTTACTGCTGCCAAAACGGGGCAGGCTTGTTCTTGCTCTGTTGGAAATTCCAGGTGCTAAGAATTAGGTGACTATTGGTGACTCAGTAGGTGGCACTCTTCCCTTTACATACTCAGCCAATGCCCCAGAAGGAAGTTATGGTACACTAGATACACCATAAATAATTCTCAGAGGAAAAATAAAACCAAAATGTTGACCGAATTATAAATAGGGCTTTGGAAGGGTGGAAATCAAACCATACTACACTCAACATTGAAAAAAAAAAATTCTGCCTCTGTTTCAACTGAATTGTTTTCTTTATCTAGTGCCCTGAAGGGATTATCAATTACAATGTGTGAAGGTTTTAAAAAACAAACAAAAAAAGCGGAAATCTCCAATAGAAAAAAAACACAATATTTCTAATAAAACTGCCATGTGATCAAAACCTCAAGGTCACTTTGCAGAAATCATATAGCCACTTTATTGTTTGGTTTGGTTTTGGTTTTTTAGTGTACTGACAACTATTTTCTTTTAACATCTGCTTCATTTTCTAATTTAATAAAAAGAAGATAACATCTGTTAGCTTTCCTTTTAAAAGTTGGTGTTGTAAAATGAGTGAATGAGAATGAATTAGAATATCTGACTACAAATCACTAACAAACCAATATTTAAAGGGTGATTAAACAAATGAAGTGGGGTAGTGGGCAATGGTTCCAGTACTTCTCACTTTCTTGACTGCCAGAAGGGAAAAACTCACATAAATCAAGGCTATTCTTGCTGTTAGTCCTAGTCAAAATATTTGGATGTGGAAGATTAAATTGACAAGATTTGGGATTATCTTTCTATTTTAATTATCCTGGTTAAACCTGTTGTTCTATCATTAGAGGGGGAAATCAAAGGTTGCCTATAGTATAAACAGTGGTTCAAAATTCTGAAAACTCTTTTCTATTTATATAACCAGAAGAATAATTCAACACTTCTTTAAAAAAAGTATAGGCCTTCAAGATTTAATATACTTAATTATAGAAAACATAACTCTATATTGCCACTTTCCAAGGGTATCATTAGATGTGATTTAAGACTAATAACCTCTATTCTTCACATTTATACATGATGTTTTTAAAAGGTGAAGGAACAGGGGACAAGTATTGAAAAGGTAGCCTAAAACTACCATAAACAAAAAGAAAAACAAAGAACAAATATGATAAACATACACTTCAGAACCTGTCCCCATCAAGCAGTTAAATGTCAAATACTTAGCATATATGACATAATGATTTGGATAATGGGCACATGGAGCACAAAGGGAAATGTCTTAGGAAATATTATTCTGAAAGCCATTATCTTTGACTTTATGTTCTTTTTTCTCAAAGCAAAGGATTTTAAACTTCTGGAAGATTTAGCTTCTTATCTTCTCTACCTTGGAATTCTAGCATCATGCCATGTATTCTCAGAATACTTGACTGTTCACAACCACCAGTACCAATATCTCCTTCTCAAAATATATATATATATATATATATATATATATATATATATATATATATATATATACTAGATAAGCCAGCAATAACTCTAAAATTCAAATCAATACAAACACCTCCTCTATCGTTTTAGAATTTTAAATTTAATCATGTACTATCACCAATACACTTAAGTGATGCAAATCCTCATGCATCCCCAAAATATTTTTGAATGAACTGTGTGAAGTAACTGCTGAGAGCATCTATTCTCAAAGCCTTTTCTACCTCAGAAAAGATTTTAACCTATTATGTCCCATTGTCCTGTACATAGGACACATAGGAAAACATACATTGAGCAATATCATAGGTGTCCTATAAAATTTTATAGATTTTTACAGGTGTCCTATGTATGGGACATAATGAGTTAATTACAGTTAAACATGAATATTAACAACTTTCCTTGAATACATTTTTTAAAAGTTTTAAACCCTGACAAAACTGCTTCACTTTTTTGATTTAGTTAAAGATATGCTTATCCCCCAATTCACATCCACAGCTCTTAAAAGTATACTTTGAAAAAAAAAGTACGATACAAATTTATAATCTCCAAAGTTTAACATTTTAATATTTGTTTTTAATACTCATGTATCTTAATATGTGATGTACTTCAGTCATATGGAATACTAAAAATGTCAATAAAATTACTTGGGAAAAGGTAATTTCAGAAATTATGCTAATATACTACCTGACTTAAGAGAGATGGCAGAGATATATAGGAAGTTAGCATTGGCAGAGAATTAAAATATGTAATTCTGAGCTTTTAGTTTAATTTACACAAGTAAGAGCCACATGAAAAACTATGACCTATGGGAATCAAAGAATAAATAGTTTTATAACCCATATATTCTACTTCCTGAAAATGTAAGCACCAAATAGCACATAGCTTGCTGTGGGAGCTGTCAAACTTTGAAAACATGCAAGCAGAGGTTTGCACCTTATTTCTTAAATTCAAAAACATAACCTGAAAATGATGACATTTATTTCTGACATAATGATAAACATTTCTCTATTGTGGTTATTAAAATTTTCTAGATGAGCAAGGCCAGCACTGGAATATCAAAAATGTTAACTGTGGTAAAACAAGATTTGTATTCATGTGAAACTCATATAGTGGGAAAAAAGCTGGCTTTGCCTCTATAGTTCTTTCAATATTTTCCTTAGTGCTACCCATTAATGACGACAATCATTTCTTAAAGTGAAAGAAACACTAACCCACTACAAAGGCATTCTTCACACTATCATGTTCATACAAACATAAGTCTTCATTCATGCACTTAGTTTTATTTTCTCAATCACATTATTGATGCTAACCCCCAAAATAGTGTACCAGTATATTATTATTAGAACATTTGCTGTCGCACTGCTATACAAATAACTTACTACTTCAAATATCACATTTTTTATAGCAATGCTTTTATGGGTGAAAATAAGTAACTTATAACACAGGCAGCTGAAAGCAAATGTTTTTATACAGTTGTGATCAATATTGAAAGATAGAGACAACTAAAGTAAAATAATAAATTCCATTTCCAGAATTCAGACATACATGAGACAAAGTAAATGATAGTAAGAATTCCAGAACATCAGAACACGCAAGATTTGCGCTGCCCTATAAAGATATATTTTCTATTCTAAAGTTTTCATTGGTCCTTAGAGAAAACGCACAGCTCCACATTCAGAACATTACTGAATAGTGGAGTTGTAGCGGCATTGAAGAACCACATTTTTAACTCCTAAAAAACAGTTCCCATAAATGGGAATGTAAAACTGAAAAGGGGAAGATGAGGGTGCAAGGATAAAGCGCTTTCATCATGTGACACAGGAAGTAGGACTTTTAACACATCCTTCCTTTTTTGCATAATAGTTACTGAGGCTGAAGACAAGTGGCCATCTGAGAATCCGGCTCTCTTTAAAGGTCTTAAATACAGAGTGGACTCCAATGTTCAAGAAAAGTGGGAGTTTTAGAAATGATACACCCCCTTCCACCTCATCACCCCTAACCCCTGTGGCTCTGACATCTCTTTGTTACACCCTCCATCCCCACTGCCGAGGCCACCCAAGAACTACTTCTTTGACTTCTGCTGTCTTCCCAGTTCTCACACAAGCATTCATTAATGTTCTCTCCCTCTTCCTCTCCCCTCCCTCCACACACGGCATCTTCATTATGCACACAGAATTGTCCGGATCCCATTAGTATAGAACATCTAGTAGGGCTACCATCCTCGCACCAAATTTCAACACACACGCCCACTCCCTTTCTCAGCCCGAGCGCCCCTCTTTCACCTCCTCCCTGTCCCGCCCCCACTGGTCAGAAGACCCGGGCGCGGAGCGCGGGGCGGGGGGACAGGATACAAGGGGAGGCAGGGGGACAGGATACAAGGGGAGGCAGGGTAAGGACTCTGAAAGCTTCTGTCCCCATCGGCTCGCCGTCCCCTCGCCCCCGCCCCGGCAGCGTTACCCGCCCCCTTCCCGCTCATTACCTGCCAACAGGTTCCTAATTTCCTCAGGGAGGGGGTAGGGAGAGGAGGTGCTGCTGGGGTTGGGCATGTTAGGGAGCGCAAGGCGTGCGGGGAAAGGACCTGTACTCAAAGGATAACCGACGGGATGGGGTTGTGGCTGTGACCTAGACTCGGGCTAGCGGTCCCGGTGCGGACAGCGGGGCTACGAGTCCGGACACTGCCAGGCCGGGAGTCACAACAAGGAAGTCACTGAATCTCCAGCCAGCAGCAGCTGGACTCTTGGCCCAGCCCCGCCCGGGAAAACGGGGCGGGGCGGTRGGCGTGGAGGAGGCAGGGGGCCCWACTGCGCATGTGTACMCTTCGATTTAATCAGCAACTGAAGAAAGAGCCTCCAGGCAAGCCACGCCCACCTCTGCGTAGAGAAGCGGGAGGAGGAGCGGTTAGTGGGAAGCCAGCGGACTGGGCCTGCGTCACCTGATTCCCACCGCTGAAGCCGCTTGTCGCCATTTTAGGTACTGGTACCTTAACAACCGCTAATCACTTCCCCAGGATCCCGAAAAACAATGTGTCCGCAATGCCCAGAAKTTTTCTGACGAAGGGGCCTTCTGTCCGGTAGTCAGATCTGCCGAAGTTGAACGCGTCTCCTGCTAATCCACGAGGAGTTTTCGACCTCCCTAAACTGTTATGGCCTTCTTTGTTTGATTGAATGAAGGTAACAATGTCCATCTTCCGCCAGTCCTCCGAGAGAAGCCAGTCTGGAGCTGCTCCAGGGAACATTCTGATTGGCTCTTACTTTTCATTTCTGCCTAATTCGTATTCTTGGGGTGACCGATTTCCCCCACTACGAAGAAAGAAAGGGGAGTTCTGGGCACTGTCCACTAGAGAATAAAAACAAACAAAACAGAGAAACCAGAAGGCTAAGTAGATATTAGGTACCACTGTTCATCTAAAAGCCTTTTTAAAATRCTGGTGGTGATTAGTAGAACAAAATTATACAGTCTGTTTGCTCCAATTTGAACATTTTGTCAAGGAACACTTGAGTGTATTCTGTCTGTAAATTTTACATATTTTCTCAAACAGACACATCTTATTCCTTTAAAGTATGTTACKTAGAAAGATGTGTAATGAAGAAAGATAGATATTACATTCAAGCTCCTCTGCACCTTAAAATCACTGAGAGAAGGTTTGGGGCTGCATCTGTTGAAGACCTTCTTCCTGGTGGTTACTCTCTGCAATATCCTGAGGCAATGCAAGCAACACAGGGAAACACTGAAGATTGCCAACAAACACCAGAAACTGAAAGAGGCAAGGAAGGACATTTCCAACAGCTTTCAGAGAGAGAATGACCCTGCTGACACCCTGATTCCAGAATTCTGGCCTGTGAGATACTAAGATTCTAGTTTAAGTCATACATATTGCTGTGCTTTATTATGGCAGTCCTGGGAAATGAGCACACTGGCTCTCCCTGTTCTAAAGATTTCATCTGTTTCCCCCAATATACCTTGCTAATCACGTTGAAAAAAAAAAAAAAAAAAGGCTGATTAAAAAAAAAGTCTCCAAATAGGAATTGCCAGGACAAAGCATGTTATGAGTGTCCACTGTGCATTTCTCTTGGAAACAGTCACTGGAATGCCCCAAGTTGCACCCTCATTCTCTGTTCATTATTTGAAAACGACACATGAATATCAGTTCTTAAACTTGACCTACATTTCCGTTAGTAAAGATAGTGACTATCTTTTATAGATGCTACTATTGTACTTTGAACATGTAATATTGTTCCAACTGAACTGTCAATCGTTTATTTCTCTACCCTTCAAACTTCTCTAGGTCAATGGTTCTTACACTTTAGTTTGCATTAGAATCACAGAACCTATGACATGGTAGATTCTCAAGTCTTGCTCCCAGAGATTCTGGTTCAGTCTTCCTTTGGGTGAATGTCATACATCCTGAGATTTCATTTTGAAAATCACTACTACCTCCCAGCACCTTTAGAGCACTAAATTTGTCATAATTTATCTTTCATCGCCAGCTGGAACCCTAAACCCAACATGGAGTAATGGATCGATCTGTTAATATTTTTATCAAAAACATTCAGGGGCTGGGGTRTAGYTCAGACCTTAGTATGCACAAAGCCCTGGATTCAGTCCCCAGAACAACAACAAAATATATTAGATTTTGTTGTTATATTTTGTACTGTACAGTACACCAGAGATATGAAAAATTGTGCTCTATATGTGTAATAAGAATTGTAATGCATTTTGCTATCATATAAATAAAAAATAATTAAAAATCAAAATTAAGTAGTCTAGTATGATTATTTTGTGTAATTCACTAAGAGATAATAACAAATACTAATTGTAAAAGGAAAAATCAGGACATATACATATCCATTCTTTACCTTACAAAACAAGACAAAAACTTTAGAATTGAGGTAAAACATGCAAAATAATAACAAGATTACAATTCTTTTTGGTAGAGTTAAAAGTGAATAGTGACTACAATATAGGTTTTTCTGATGTCAAAGAATTAAGAACTATTATTCTTAAACTACAAAATTATCCATTTGCTAAAGAAGGAAGGAACTATTTCATGAACATTTTTTATTAGCAAGAATCATTTCTTCTTTACAGTTATCACATATAATTCTTTGTCTTGTCACTTTTTTTTAATTACACCAGGCCTCAAAATTTCCCTATCCTTTGTTGCCTTCTGACAGAACTGACCACTCTTTTTTATTATTGTCTCATTTATTTATTTATACTCCACTCATTCCACAAAGGAATTGAGGTGATTTACTCGTGTATCAAATAGACAGCTTTCTGGAGTGGATCAAATGGACAGTGTCTACAATGCTCATTATGACAATCATTCTTGTTAGTGAAAGACAGAAAACTATTAAGATTGCCTTAAAATATATAGCATCCACTAGTCTAAATAAAAAAGGCAATAACAGAAAATGGACTTTTTGTATAAACCACACTTCCCCTATTTAAGAACCCATTCTCAGACACAGGTCCATGATGGATTCATTTGGGCAATGCTTTGTATACTCTATCATTTTTACTGTCTATTGTTAAAGTTACTGAAATTGATTGTAAGATGGACAGACAAAGAGAGGCTAAAATAAATATATATTTCTCTTGTTTCCAAATGTTTCCATAACAAAAACTAAGATGGAAATCAAATCATACTTTATATTCTTTAAACTAGTCATATGGGGTTAATAATAATGATAATAAATAAAACTGTAAATCTCAACCAGAGAAAGGTGATGGCCTCCTCTACCTCCCAACCAGAACCAAAAAAAGAGACTAGACTCTGGGAAAAATCTAATGATACATATATAGCCTTATTTCTCATGCTAACCATCTTCCTTATGCCCTTCAAAATTAACTTAGAGTACTGAACAATTATCTGCCCAAAAAATCTAGGTTTAAAAAAAATCTAGAGGAACATTGCAGACAGCAGGCCAAAACACTATTTACATTTTTCCTGACTCTTCTACCTTCATTTTTGCTTAGCTTTCCTTGGCATATGGGAGAAAGATTATATTCAGGATTATATTAGTTATATATTGCTGCCTAACAAAATTGAGCAGCTTTAAACAGTAGCTCAAATGGTTTCTTATGGTCACGAATCCATAAGCAGCTTAGCTGAATAGTTCTGGCTCAAAGTCCCTCATGAGGCTGCTATAAAGGTTCGAATTTCTTATCCTTTTTCTTTGAGTCTTCTAGAAGTAATAGGTATGATTTCATCATTGTGTGGCAGTCAACAAGAAAAAAATTATATTAACACTGGAATTCATATGAAGTCAGTTACCCATAAAAAAATGTGAAATTAAGCCCAACCAGAACCAAAAAAGTTCTATTAGATGCAGCTCATGGTTTGAGTTTTTAGGTCATATTCGTTTATTTATTTATTGGTACTGGGGATAGAATCTAGGGCCTCATGCTATGCAAGAATTCTACCACTGAAAAACACCCCCAGCCTAGGTCGTCATTATTTTTTTTTTTAATATTTATTTTTTATTCTTGGCGGACACAACATCTTTGTTTGTATGTGGTGCTGAGGATCGAACCCGGGCCGCTCACATGCCAGACGAGCGTGCTACCACTTGAGCCACATCCCCAGCCCCGGTCGTCATTATTATTAACCATATTAATGTGTAATTAAGTTAGCAAGATAAGAAACACATTTTTTTCTTATTTTCCATCTCATTTGCATACATATAAACATATACTTGTGCCATTTGCTATCCTGGCCAATCATTTTAAAATTAAGAAGAATAAGCAATTTAACATGGACTGACTTTGAGTTATTAACAAGATCTTGTATGTCTTTAATATTCTGCAAACAAGGAATAAGGTGAGAGAACTGTCTATCCTTTTCCATACTGAGCAGAGGGTTGTTTCCTGCCCAATAGCAGCCCTTTTCTCCCTTAAGCTAAATTTCCCTTCCCAGCCTATCTTTTGTTGTTGTTCTTCTTTTTAGTCCTTTCCAGACAGTGTTGAGAAATCTCAGCATGATGAAACCCAGTACCTCATGCATGCTAAGTTGAGGCAGTTCCCAGCCCTGCCTGCTCATAAGCTTGATGATATCCTCTAGCTTAACCTTTTAGCCATGCTCTAGTAACTGAATTTCTCCTGCTCGGGTTCTGAGACCAAGTGCTTACTTTTCATAAAGTGATGTATATGTCTAGACACGAGGAAATCAAATTCCTGTGTTGCCTTCTGACACTGGTCAGCCTTAGCTCCCAGTGTGTATGCTCATGCTAAGAAAATGCTTGCATTAAATCTTAGTAATAAAGAACAAGCATTTTCTTAGCATGAGCATACACACTGGGAGCTAAGGCTGACCAGTGTCAGAAGGCAACACAGGAATTTGTTCTTTATTACTAAGATTTAATGCAGAGCCCCCTCCTCTCCATGTGAACTSTTTTACTTCTTTTTTACGGTTTAGTGAGGTTACCTTGCACTGTGAGCAAGTGCATTAAAAGATAAGAACTTTTGATTCTTCCCCCCTTTAATTCTTGTCATTGAAATCTCTAATTTCTGCCTCAGAGGTGCCAAACAGTAACCTCAGAAATTCCATTTTTTTCTTGGCTTATAACAGAGTTAGGGAAAGTTATTCTTCAGCTTATCTAGGGGGTAAAGTGCAAGACTAATGSTATCATTTAAATTTCCCCAACCCACCCCACTCCCAAGGATGACCCTGACCTGCACTCCCTGAACTTCTGCCAATTAGAGA